AGATCTTGAGGGAAAGTTCAGAAAAGGGGTGGGGAAGAAACGTTCAAAGGGCTGGAACACCGAGGAAAGACTTGCGTTTCAGATCGTCACGTCTGCAGCTTTTTCGTTTAGTGGAAAGAAACGGGCGAGTCAACAGCGCCAACTTTTCAGCGTGCTTACCAAGAAGCAAGTCCTGCTAGGTTCAATGAGGCTTAGTCCCAGGGTAGTCTGCACATACTTAACCTGAGAAGCCCTGACTTATACAGAAGTCTTTCAAGGACTGTTCAGCTATGGTAGCTCAATTGAACCTGCATGTACAGGACCAGTATACCTCTGAATGTCGGAGGCTGCTGGAGCAAAACGACAAGGAAGGCCGCGACTCCCCATCACCTCCTTTGTGCACACACCATACCGCACATTAAAAGCATGCATCTCAAAATTATCCTGGGAAATGTAGTTTAAGGGTGCTCTGTGGGGAACAAACTATAGTTCCCATGATTCTTTGTGAGGGAAAGGGCGGTGCTTCACATGTATGGTGCGCGTGTGCCAGGAACGGGCCGCTCTTGTAACGTCCTTGCTTTTCCACTCAGTGGGTTTTTGGTCTCATCCTGCGAAGGTGGCTCTTGTGGAGAAAGGCTCGTTCGCCTTTCACGGGTGCTCGTACTTTTCAGTGCGTGTGTTGAGGTATGTAAAGACTTGGTGCTGAAGGAGACTAACTTTCTGCGCCTCCTGGAGGCACCTATGGGTGCCTGGGCGGCCAGGCAGCAGGACGTGCGTTGATGGGGAGACTAAATGGAGGGCGAGGTGCATGGGCTTGAAGAAGGCGCTCGGCAGTTCTCCAGTGAAATGACACATCACTCAGCTTATAGATGGGTAGGTAAACAAATTGTGCGCACATCAGAACGGGATCTTGTTGCACGGAAAAGGAGACAGATCGTAGCGAGGGGGACCTTTGAAGGGCCAGGTCGCTGGGTTGGATATTTGCTCGTATATTTCAGTTTCCTTCTGAATATAGCTTAATGTTGGCTCTCTCCCCCTCGCGCCCCTCTATAATGCCTGGTTAACCCTCTCATTACTACATAGACATACATAGTTTTTCTGGACAGAGGCGACACATTTGTGTCTCTTTGAAGTACATGTGAAGAGGGATCCCATTCACGTTTACTCAATGGTAAGCTTCTCTAACTTCGGTGGTGTTTCACTCAGGAGCGAGTGTGAGCTGGGGCGCTCGCCTCTTGGGTACGCTGTATTAGGCCGGCTGTTAACCAGCGAGTTACGCGTGCGTTCAGTTCCATACGCAGCGTGTTCGCACGTTACACAGAACACAGGTACAAGCTGTCTCTACCCATGTGCAGGCGCTTGTGTGAAATTGTACATTTGCACACTTAACTATTAGGCACACAGACTGTTCATGACACTTCTTGAACGCACAGGTACGCAGATTGCGCAGTCCTAAAACGTTAATCGTGAGCGCCCCTCGTGCGTGTGTGTGTGTGTGTAAAAACACGTTTGTATCTAGCTGAAGCGTCATAGATTCTACAGCGGGTGGGATGTCTCCAAGGGTTCTGGGATTCGGGCCCCAGCTGCTCTGTGCGGAGATAATTTCTGCATGCTGAGATACGTCTTTGGTACTAGTGATATTTCAGGCAGACACTGTTAACCAGCGCGCGGGGAAATGCACTGTTTGCTAGTTGTGCTTTCTCAGGTATTTGCAAGATTGAAAAATGAGCTGGCCAATCATGCCACCTGCGACAGAAGGCGGGGATCTACTGGGACTTCCTCCTGTTTTCTTTTGGTCCTTAAGAAATAATAATCGTGGGCCTTCCCCCAGATTTGGCCTCAGGAACTAAGGACGACCTTCGCCAGCGTGGCGGCCTCCAGATATTTTGGACTACAATTCACACCAGCAGGGGCGTAGCCAGGGTTTATGTGTGGTGGGGCAGGCTTCATATTAAGGGGAGCAGAACCTCAGTTAGTTAAGTATTTTTTATTGATTTGCTTGATTTGGGGAGGGGGTAGCTGCCCCTCTTTCCCCCTTGGCTACGCCCATGCCCATCAGCCCCAGCCAACATCTGGAGGGCGCCCGGCTGGCGAAGGTCGTCCAAGGAACTGCGCTTCCAATGTTATTCTAGCATTGATTTTGTTCTTGAGGTCAGAAATGTAAGCACCGGTTCATAACTCTCTGGATGCGCAGCTTTTCAAAGCAACCTGCCTTTGTATATATGGCAAGCACAGGGACAAGATCCGGACTCAATGAAGAGAATTCTTAAGGCTGCAGTCCAGAGCACACTCACCGGGGAGCAAGTGCCACTGAATTCAATGGGACTTCCTTCTGAGTGAAGACGTTGCACTGTAAGGGTGCCATCCTGCGGGCACAGATGGCAAACCTTATAGCACTTAAAGTGTCACAGTCGCTTTTTGTATTATTGTGCAAAGACTCCAGTCCCCCACCCCTTAACTGCCCCCTGGAAGTCGATGAGACTACAAGGCCTGCACACATCTGACCTGAGCCCTAAGACGTTCCCTTAACTCAGCCCTTGCTAGGACCTAGATAACTGATCTGCCTTTGGGCGAATTGCTGCACTTCAAACCACAACCACCACCACGCACCCCAATCCTCCCCCTCACCCCTTTCCTTCGCACCCACCTGAATAAAAAACGATGTTAAAATGCATTTCCGACGGGGGAACGAGGCGCGCCACTAGGATTAAACCCATCACAATCCTATAGCAGGCGCGTCTCAATATCCAAATTGGGGCCTTGAGTTGCGTGTGTATGGGTCGTTTCCCCGGGGGCTGACCCCGTGGGATTTACTTCCGAGGAAACTTGCTGCAAGGCTCCGATGCTAAATACCCCCAGCAGCTCCAGCCTTTGCTTAATAATCACACTGAACTCAGCGGATAGCACGCTTGAATCTGCGGGGCTGAAAACGCGCCACGTGAAAAACAGTGGCCTTGGCTCCCACGTGCAATGCAATTAAAACGGCGACGAGAGTTAATTTTTCAAACTTTTGACTGCGGGGGGGGGGGACGACTGTGAAAGGGAATATGGCCTGATTAAAACACAACCACCCACCTAACAGCAGCAACTTCAGGATGAATCAAAAGTGGAGGCTAGCTCCCTTCTCTCTCCTAGGGATGCCGTTTATCCATCGCCCTTCGTTTTTTAAGAAGGAGCCAGCCTTCCTTAAATAAATAAAAGAAAGCTCCAACTCCCCCCCCCCCCGCTACTACGCGTCCTAAACTGGAGCGCTTTTTCAAGCGCAGCAAAGCCCTTGTCCATTTCAGCAGCCGCGGAAGTCGCGCTTCGCTTGAGAGTTTCTGCGACCTAGCTGGGCGGATCGATGTTTTTCCATCGCTGCGGGGCCTTCGCTTTCCTTGCTGTCTTTGATACGGAAGAAGCAGCAGGAAGGGAGCGGGGAGGTGGGGGCAGAATTATCACCTTGTTGGGCCTAATAAAATTAAAGCTAAGAGCGGCACGGAGAAAGCCGCCGCTCTCCCCACCCGTCCACCAACAGCCAGGAAAGAGAGTCTTGGGGACCCCGCTCTTCTGCCCTGCGCGTTTCCCAGATGTCGGCTCACCCGGGACACGGCAGGCACTAGTGGGGCTCGGGTCCTTCTCTCCCATTCACCCCGTTCTTTCACAAATTTAAGTCGCTCTTTTGAAGTTTCATGAGAAATCGCCAAAACCAAATCTACCCGCCCTTACAAACGCAGAAGAGGATTTGAAGTTGTAGCCAACCAAATATACTCAGAGGACAGCCACTGAAATTAATGGACCTAACTTAGTGATGCTCATTGATTTCAATGGGACCACTCTGGGTAGGATACAATCCGCAGTATTGTCATAAAAAAGTCAATAATAATATAAAATGCCCCTTCTCCTCGAGGATGAAACATTGGCCATTTGTGAAAGCGGCACTTCCACACATCCAGATGTTTTAGGTTGCATGAAGTGGGATTGGAAGGGATGTGTAGCGAGAACAGACCGCTATTGAAGTTTCACCTTTTATTAAATATAAATCTTTTCCCCCCAATAAAAGCTAAGAACGACAATCAAAGCAGGGTTTGAATTTCTGGCAAACAGTTGTGCCCCAGAGATAGGCAGATCTACTAGCAGGGCAAGCCTATACAAGTCTACTCGGAAGCAAGCCCCACTGAGCTCCATGGGACATGCTCTCAAGGAAGATTGTGCACAGGATTGCAGCCTTAAGTGATAATTAACTTAGCTTTACTGCTAAGGGATACGCTGCAACCCTAAAGCTACTCGCCCGGAAGATGCGTCCCGAATCAAAGTCTGTTTAGTGAGATTTACTTTTAAGTAATTATGCCTAGGAATACAGCCCTGCCCCTCGATCCTATGTCTGTTACACTCTGACTTAAATCCCACTATATTCAGTATGGATCTATGTGCGGGTAGGATCGCAGCCCGATCCTGAAATGATTCCTCGGAGATAAATCTACGCTCTGTTCAGAGGGGCTTATTCCTCCTCAACCTCCCTGCTAACTTATTTCGTAGTCACCACATTTGGGCTGCCATGCGCTGGGTCTCTCTTCCTCCGCGACCCCGCGCGTTCAGACGCCGTTTTGAAGTCGCTGCGGAAGCCGAATCTATCCTCGAAACACCCAAGGCGACGGCCGTGCGCTCTGTCTCTTTAACGCGCGCTCCCGGCGCTCTGGGCGCGCTCCCGCCTCTATAACTGGAGTCCATGGAGTTGCATTGGGCTCAGAGGGAGCAAGAACTCGGGAGCATAGGCTGTTAAAGGGAAAGGCTCGCGGGGAAAGAAGCAGCCACCATCCCACCGCGCCGCTCGCTGGGCTACCGGCGGCGAAGGCCATCCATGGCAGCGCAGATCACCACCAGATTTTGACGGATTCTTTCGCCAGGGTTGGGGGCTGCTTTCGTCGTTGTTATTCTCATCCACCTCAAACAACAAACACCCCCCCCCCCCCGGTTTGGGGGCATTTTCCTAGAAGATTTTCGTTGTTGCTTTTTTGGCTGCTGTCCAGATGTTGGTTCACACTTATTCCGCCATGGTGAGTTGGACTTTGTGTGTGTGCGCGCATTTGCGGGGGGGGGGGAGCCGGACGGGGGACGGCGGGAAGGAGGAAAAAGAGAAGAAAATACGCTTTCCTCTTTCTCTATCAAGCTCATTCGAAGAGAAAGTTAATTGAAGGAACCCTATACCTCCAAATTAAGAGAGATTTCACCCTTTAATGTTGGCCAGATGTCAGGGCTCCGCAGCGTCCCCAGTTGATGGTTTAATTCTTTCCTTTGGAGGATTGGGAGGAGGGGGACACACCGAGGCGGCGGAGTCGATTACAAAAGCAGGGGGAGAGAGGAGGAGAAGCCAAGGAGACCTTTCCGACGTGCTGCTTCTGGTAGTTTGCAACTAGCAAATAAAAGACCCGCTGTCTATGGAGAGAAGGCTTTTTAAAAATTAGTATTGTTTAGGCAACGGCTGCGCATTGTTGGTTCTCTTCCCCCGCCCTGTTCGGATTTCACTATTTTTCTCCTTGCTGAGAGCAAAACGAGATGCGGGAGGGAAGGGGTTCAGTTGCTATTGGGGGGGGGGGGAGAGATTACAGTAAACAAAGCAAGGTCGATCTCCACAATCGGGCACCCTCAACAAACTCTCGTGCTTTTGCTGTGTCTTGGGTGCTTTCCCCCTCACAGTTTAAAAAGTTAAGTTTGTTTCTAAGCGGAAAAGTCAGGCCAGCTGCAAAGAGAAGATTGTTAAGTGGTGGTTTTCCCCCCATCGCCGTCGAATGCCCAAAGCGGTGCGCTTTTTGTCGTTTTGGCGCAGAGGCTGCTCGGCTTGCCCTGGGGTTGCGGGGAGAAGGCGAGGAGGAGGGCTCGGCTGGCCGGAGATGCGCCTTGCCTGCGGCTCAGGTGTTTCTGAGGCAGGGGGCCCTCGGGGAACTGCGATCTTAGGCCCGGTAACGCGCCCTTCCCTGGCGACGCTGCGTCCCCGGAGGAGCCGTGCGCTCCCGGCAAAGAGGGAGGGCAGAGTCCCTGGCAGCGTGGCGCTCTCCAGTGACCATTTTTTCTTTTTCTTCCCTTCTTCCTTCCTCTGCTCGCGTGTCTAGGACCGCTCCGATGGGCTGAACGGGAGCTCCACCGGAGGCCGCCTCTCCCAGCTGTCGTCGCTCAACCAGGCGGCGGCGTACTCGTCGGCTCCCCCTCTGTGCCACACGCCGGCCTCGGACTTCCAGCCGCCTTACTTCCCGCCGCCTTACCCGCAGCCGCCGCTGCCCTACTCACAGAGCCAGGAGACCGGCTACCCACACCTGGGCGACCCCTACACCGCCATCAACCCCATCCACCAGCACCAGCAGAGCAGCTGGCACTCCCAGCGGGCTCGCCAAGAGGAAGCGGCCGCCGGCCTCCTCTCGCAGACGCACCGCGCGCTCGGCCTGGACCCGCGCAGGGACTACCCCGGCGTGCCGCGCTTGCTCCACGGCCTGGCCGACGGGGCGCACGCCCTGAGCGACGGGCCGCTGGGACTGCACGCCCTGGGCCACCACAGCATCGAGGACATCCAGGTAGGCACGCGGTTGGCTCAAAGGGGGGAATATCCGGCTCAAAGGGGGGAATATCCGGGAAGGGAAGGAAAATTCGGGTCCTGGTGGCGGGCGCTTTCGTCGAGGGGCGCGCAGTAAAAGGGACAGTGGCAACCACCCGGTTGCCCCTTCTCCAGCAAATATTGCGGGCTGCTCGGAGCCTGTCGCTTGACGCAGAAAGAAGTCCCGCCGAGTTCAATGTCCTCCATCCGCCCCATTGGAATCTAGCGTGTGTGTCTGCTTACGTCGGTGGTTGGCTTGCCACTGACTTGGGAAGCCCCCTGGGAGAAAGAAAGGCAGGAGAAAGGGATGGGGTACAAGCAGCGGAGCCTCCCACTCCTCGTCCCACAGTTCAGGCCCGCCGTCCCGTCCCCGCGCCTATCGACGTCGAATTTCGATGAAACCTATTTCGAGTGAAAAGAAACAAACGCCTCTCCTCTGCTGAGACTTTCCCGAGACGACCCTCTCCAACCGCCGGGAATTGTAAAACGGTGGCGAATATATCTAACGAGGGTTTGATGTCAGCTTTAAACTTTAAATGCCTCCTAGGTGATCCCCCTCTTCTTTCCACCCCCTCTAAAAATAATAATAATCGTAATACATTGCCCATTTCTTCCTCCCCAAATCACTGCCTGCTTCAAGAGAGGCTGCGCGTCTTTCACAGTTCCTTTCTTTGAAAGCCATTTTACTAAATACCCCAAATCGTTATTGTTTTTAAAAGATGCAAGCTTCACTCCTGTCTTTACCCAAAACCTGAGCAGATGCGTTTTATTTATTTTAAAATGAAGTGATGGGACGTATATTTCCAACACTTTCCAGTAAGAAAACGGCGCTAATAACTGTAGTTGACGAAGATGAAAACTAAACACGGGGGCGGGGGGGGGGCACAGAGGGGAAAAAATGCCTCCCCAATGCTGAAGTCCTACCGGGGAGTAAGTTCTATAGAAATCGGTGGGACTTACTTCCAGTGAGATAATGGTCAGGATTTGTTAGCTTTGCGCGACTGGACAGTTTTTCAGAATATTCGACCCTCCTTCTTCCCTGGGAAAAATGGTTTCGCTCTTCTAGAGTCAAACCCAGAAACCTCTTGTTGGCCATCGCGAATCCTTCGCTCGCCTTATTTGATTTTCTTTCTTTCTTTCCGCCCGTCCCACCCTCGGATCCAAAACGGCCAAGAATCGTTGAAACGGCTAACAAACAAAAGGTCTTGATCCGGTTTCAAGCAGAACACACCGCTGCAAAAACAACATAACACAAAACAAAAAATACCGTTTCGGATTAGGCTGGACGGGACACATTAGACTGAGGGAAGCGTAGAAAAGGGGAATCCCGTTTTGGATCACGCACGATCCCTGCTTCAAGAAGTGCCTTGAATCATTTTAATCCTTTCCACCCATATTTGCCCACCCCCAACCAACCTGGTCATGTTTGCTCCCAAGTAAGGGACTTTGGCTGCGATCCTAACCATGTCTGCTCAGAAGTCAGTCAAGCTGAATTCAGTGGGGTTTACTCGTAGGTAAGTGGGGTTAGGATTGCAGGCTCAGGGTTTTTCCTTACTTTGCATTGCTGCTCCTTCAGACCTAACAAAGGGCTCGATCTCTAGCCGGAGTTGTTTTGCATCCCGTGGATTTCCATAGGAGGTTTAAGTAAAAACTTGCTTTTGTTTTTCACTCTCTCCCGTTGAATTCAACTGGATTTTTAAAACGCTTAATTCCGAATGGCTCACCCCCAACAATAAGAATCTGCCCCCTGCATTTTTAAAATACGTTCAAGGCTGAGAAGTTACTAAGGAAGGAATCTCATTGAACTCGGTGGCACCTACTTCTGAGTAATCCTGTGCAGGATCGCGCTACTCCTGCGTATTCGTGTGTGTGTGGACCTGAGGTCTTTGGCTGCTGCTGCCGGTAAATTTGGTTGTCTCCGACTAACTTACACCTAGAGTAGACGCATTTAAATCAATGGAGCGAAGTTAGTCATGCCCATTCATTCCAATGGCTCTAAAGCGGTACACAACCAGTAGCTCCCTGATTTATTTATATTTTTTAAAATAAGTGAAACGCTTAAAAATAATGATGGACTTTCCCCAATCATTTGGTCGTTTTTGTCATTCTTATTTTCAACAATCTTTCTTCCCCGGGGCATTCTGCCATCTTTTTGTTGGCTACTGACTGAGTCTCTCAAAACTATTTGCAAGGAGAGATGACAGTCAAGGACCCGGGCCATTTTGGGTACATATCTACAGGCGGGGGTGGAGTTGCTGGCTTAGTCCAGGACTTTCTCTGCTAGGAACCAGTTTGAACAACTTGTCCAGAACCAAAAATAGGAAAATGACATTGTGGGGTGCCTTCTTAGTAAAGCAAAACAAAAAACATTTTAGGTTTAAAAACCAAACAAACAAAAGCCATAATTGCCGTACTGATGTCTCGAAGCAATCACTTTCTGAGTTTTGAAACATACTCAGAAAGTGCAAGGAAGGGAACTCCCAGTAATAGTTAACTAGAAGTAAGATGTGGGGAGGGAGCCCCTAATTGGGTTTTTGTTTTCCTCCTGAACACAGCAGTAATTTGGCTTCTGGTTCCAGCAAAAAAAAAAAAAAAAAAGCAAATGCAATTCAAATGCTCATAGTTACTCCTGAATTCAAGTTTATTCAAATAAGGGCTTGCTCCAAAGCTTGAATCGCAGGCTTGGGTCCCAGATGTTTCCACGGGAGCTAAACAGTTGCATAAATCTCTCCCAATAGGGGCTTAATGGGGGCTCAATGGGTTTTAGCAGTGTTTGCCTTTAGCTGAATTATGCCATGTATCTTGAAAGAGCAGTCCTGGATTCTCTTGAGGCTTATTTCCCTCTAGAAACATGGCCTTCTTGGTGTGTGTTTGTTTGTTTTGCTTGCTTTTGAGTAATAAAAGGGGAAGGGCCTGCCAGGGTTTTTTTCTTTCCTTCTCTCTCCCTCTGAATTATGAAATAAAGTTTCTCAAAATATGAAAAAGTTCTTTAACGATTCCAACGCCTCTTTAAAACTCCTGTTTGAGAGAGATGTTGTAAGGAGATAGTTTCGTTTCCTCTTACAGATTTTTTTAAAAAAACCCACGTTTAATTTCTCTAGGAAACCCCTATATTTGATGGAGATGTGGGTTGGCTTCTTAATCTCCCCCTATCCCACCCACCAAGCCCCACACAGCTTAAACTTTATATTCCCATCTAGTGTCTCGAATGTTAAAAACGCTTCATGTGGATACTTGCAGTAATCCTTGCACAACAACTCTGCATGCTGAGGCCACGTAAATAATCTTTGCCCGTTGTTCTTTCAGGCTGTGGATGAAACTGGCATGAATCTCTTGGACCAGTCTGTGATCAAGAAAGGTAAGGAAACTTGTCTCATTCGGGGATGGTTTCATGGTTTTGTTGTTTTTAATTTTTGAAGGGGGTGGGCATGGAAAGCTTGAAAATGGGAATCGACATTCAGAACGGGACGGGGTGCTTTGGCATAGCCAATTCGTGTTTGTTTGTGTTTGGATCCAGGCTATTGAGACCATCCCTAAGACTTTGGCTTCTCTTCACATTCCCCATCTTTGCTCTTAGACGTAAGCCCATCGGCTTACCGCCGTTTTTCAGATCTGGGCTTTGACTGAAGCTCTGCTTTTGTTGAGGGATACAGGGGGACCCTAGGACAGCTCAATGCTTTTTGGCACCTGAGGCAAACTTCACAATGGTGCCCAAGGAAGAAAAGGGTCAAGAAAGATCGACAAGAGCAAAGGTTGTGGGTGGGGAGAAAGAAAGATTGGCATTGGGATCTGCTGCCCTGGTGGACCCTGTCACCTGAGGCAGTTGCCTCACCTTGCCTCATGGGCAGCCTGGCCCTGGGGGACCCCAACTTCCCCGCCCCCTGAACATAAGTAATTAGTTCAGGGAGCCTTGACCTGTGGCCCAATACATTCTCTAATGCTGCTAGATGTATATAAAATAACACTAACATGTGGACTTGTAGTGGGGAAGAGAATAGGGGTGTGAGAGAGAGTGCATAAAATCTCCCCCCCTTCTCTTCCCTCTGCCCAGGTTTCCAACTGTGCCATATCAATGCCAGTTTTCAGATTTGGGGGCACTCCAGAAGAGGACAGACCCTGAGAGCTATTGATTTACCCTTATCTCTGCTGCTGTGTGGGAGATAAGGGCTTTGTGGTGATGGTGGTGGCTTTTAAGGCTTGGGTCTCTCTGTTTCTTTACCCCCCTCAAGGCATTTTTGGCTGGCCTCTGTCTGAGTGTACCCACCACCACCAGAGCTAAATGCGCCACAGTTACTGAGGCAAAGACATTTGGATTTTGAAGTAGAAAGCAAGCAAGGAGGCAGAGCTTTCCATTCCAGTCTGTGATTGTTTCCTTGGCTCTTCCTGAATGCTCCTCTCGGATATATTAAATATATTATTCCCTGAGCAAATTGGTGATTTTGTTTGTTTATGCAAAGGCTTGCTCATCTCCAAATTGTAGAAATAGCTGTAGACCTGAAATGGTTTTGGAGAAGTGAGGAAAGGACTTGTAAGGCCAGTGGGAAGTTGTGTGTGTGTGTGTGTGTGTGTGTGTGTGTGTAAGTAAAGCTAGTGCATTTTGTACAGCATGCCCTATACACTGTCAAAATGATCATTGGAACAGATGCCACTTAATATCTCATGCAATAGTCTTCAATGTTTTTCAGACCATGGGACCCCCATTAGCCCAAACGTGCGTTTGGAGACCCACTTCCTAAATTTATTTATTTTTATTTATCCTACCACATTTGTATGGTGTTAATGCTGCTGTCGCAACCCACCTTAAATCCAGTAATGCACTAGTGAAAACCAAATATCAAGAGGATAAAATTTGGTGACTTAATGAGACAGGGCTAAGACCACACCATGTGTTTAAAGGACATTAAAAGCATACACCTACCTCCAGAATTCTGGGAATTATAGTCTACCCTTAACAAACTACAGTTTCCAGGATTCTTGGAGTGCGGGATGTGTTTTAAATTTATGGTGTGCACAGAGCCCAGGATGGAACCTTTTGTATTTATTTCAGTCATAATGACACCGGCCTTGGGATGAAGCCCACTGGACAATAGTGGACCTTTTGAGTAAACATGTCTGAAGTCAGGCTGCACAAACAACAAAATGAAAGAGGAAAGAGAATGATAGGCTCAATATTTTCATCAGTAAATTTGAGTGTTGTTTGTTTGTTTTTTCCCTGGGGTGGTGAGGGGAATTTGAACGCTTGCATCTCTTGACTAGAAAGCTCATTATTAAATCAAGCCATTGTTTAATGTGCTCTGGTGCTTCTCTGAAGGCCTGAGATAAGGATCTGCTGTTCCCTACCTATAAACTCCTAGCACATGGCAGGGGCAGAACATGGCATTGTGTGTTATATAGGCTGG